TCTAATGGTTTGCAAGCATGGGCAATGATTCGCGTATTATACCGGATTGAGTTGGTTTACCAGCAAGAGAAATTATCACTTTACGCTTTCTTAGGGGGAAAAATTTGAAAATCGTGATGCCGTAATCATACATAAAATTACTGACAGTCACAACTGATCTGACGTTGAATGTCGCAGTCCACACCCTGGGACTCCTGCTTCCTATTTGGGAAGTCCTGGTTGAAAATATTAACCTTTAACTCGACAAACTTGATAGAGATCTTTCGTGATTTGCCTCAGTTCATATTGGCAATTGCAGTGATAACACCTTAAATTAGGCTACGACCGTCTCCTTTCACATTCGCTCCAACATTCAGGAATCGTGCTATTGTACGTCTCGATATAATCTAAGTTTTCACCGTGGACACGCAAGTTAAATCTCGGGTGACTTCAAGCGACTTACTTAGTTACTGTCAGGTATTTCTCACGTTTGCTTTTCTCATCTAATCATCAATCCAGTGACTTCAAGCGACTTAGTTACTGTCAGGTATTTCTCACTTTTGCTTTTCTCATCTAATCATCAATCCACCACTGATCCACCCACACCTATCACCGCCCCACGAGGTGTGTGGTAGCCCTGACCAAACAGCAGATTATTAAACTCGATAGGGAAAGTACATCCAAGCTAATGTTAGGCGCATGTGGAGTTGTTCATATTACGTGTATGAGTAAAGTAATTCACAGAAAATTAATTACGCATTCAGGGAATTTCTGCAGAATAAAAAAGCAATATAACAGATTCAAGGAGTGCAAACTATTAAAACACGTGTTTGTTACTAGCGATAACTTTTTTTGTAACTCGACTAAAGAATTTTGTTAACATTCGGCTTGGTTCATCCCTTGCAACAAAGGATCTAGCAGTATCTCAAATGCTGTCCCACAAGCTGAAGCCAGCCTTTGTGAAAACATCAAAGAAGCAGTGTCTTCTGTTATAGATCATGGCCTCCCATGTTCTCGTGAAACCGTTTCACAGGGAGAAAAAGAAGAGAGGAGATTTAAAGCAAAAGAGACGCGGAATGAGGGGAAGGAACGCAGAATTCCAAATCCAATCATTCGTAGTAGTAAAGTTATATAAAATATGGCACTGAGGTCGCCCAGATTATTAAATTTGCTCACAAACATCTTCTACATACATGCGAATAATTTAAACGAATATTGTAATAAGAATGCTCGCCGTCGCTAGTTGATGAGATTTATTAATACATAAAACCAAATCTAAAGAGCTCTCGGTTCTTGTAACTCAATTTTTGTGCTGTGACGTATTTTTCCTAAATCTGCTTCGTAGAACATCGCTAATGCCCTCTCGCATTTTCTGCGGTTGGCCCGTGGCGGAAGGATGCAGAGGAGTGGCCAGGCAAATTAATTGTAATTTTTGGCGAACACATTTTCAGAAAGAATCAATGCATTCTTACTTTGCTGTTATTTTTTGGGACATAAAACGTCGATTTTAACACTAAATTTTATCGCCATCTATTCCACGTATGGATCCATGAGATGTAATAAAGATTTATTTCTGGATTCTGTTCGAGAGGTATTCGGTTCGAATCTTATGAGATTTACGGACCATTCTGGCTAAAGCACTCTCTTCAGGCGGCTAGTGGGGGAGCACTGGGATTAAGCCTATCTGAAAGGCTGCGGAATTGAGTATTTTGGCATAAAGGGGGGGAAAGATCATAAAGATGAGGACAGTTTTTAATAAAGGGTTTCATAATTTGTGCTCGTCACCAAATTCTTGTTGGGACGACTAAGTCAAGGAAGATACGATGGGTGGAACATGTAGAACGCACGAGGGAGATAAGAAACTAACACGACATTTTAGCAAGAAAACCTGAAAGCGCTAGCTCTGTATGGGAAAATAATATAAACATGGATTTTAAAGAAATAAAATGTGGGGGTGTACACTGGAGTCATTTAGTGCAGATTAGGGTTAGGTGGCTAGCTCCTGTGGACATGATAATGATCCTTAGGGTTCCATACAAAATTGCAAATTTCTTGTTACTCTGAACGACTCTAAGGTTGTTAGTTAATTAGCCGGACTGTTTGTCAGTGATTAATATTAGAGGCTTTTACCAGTATTTCATTTGTAATTAATAGAATCTGAGTTAGAATACCTACTGTTCCTTTTCGTAACAGTTTTTACACCCCTCGTGCTCAAGAAGTAAGAGTCCGACAGTTAACTAGGAAATGTCACCAAACGATCTAATCTCGTGATTAGATATACGTGTTTCAGTCGCAAGAAATATTCAAGTTCGAGCCTGCAAGGTAACAGTGATGCGACTGTTCAGTAAGATTAAGTTAAATGCATAAACTAACAAAGAACATACTTCCATATTAATTTGAAATAAACAGTGTATAGAAAACATCTCAGGCTTCACTTCAGTGCCATTTATCGCCCACTCCACTTCCTCCGAGTATTGCATTACAATTTAATGGATCTTGAGTTTTCATTCTATTTTCTGTACACTCTTTAATTCCTTCACTCTCAGTTTTTATTTAACTGTAATCCTCTTTGAAGTCCTTTATCTGCGGTACCATTTCTATCTAATTTTCGTATCTTATAAGCACACTTTGCGGGAGTTAGCCCACTCGTATTAATCCCTGTATGAGCAGTGAAAACAGTTTTCTAAAACTGCTATTAAAATTATGGCGCGAAATTAATTAAGCACGAAGAAAAGTTGACTGTAGTTAGATAATTTTACTTAATGAGCTCTACAGTTTCTTATAGTTTCAATAACAGTTCTCTCTTGATTGTGTTCCTATATCTAAACAAGCAGTCTTTTGACATGAAACTATCCCTCGCCAATAATACGTCTGTTTCTGTAATGAGTCTGATATTGGGACTAACATGTAACGCTTAAAACGTCATTTCAAGTAACATGGTGGGCTTACAGCTAGAATTTACTCAATTAGAAGCCCGGCAAAATTAATTTAAGACGAATTGATAATATTATAATCTAAACCTTTCATAACAACCAATAAAAAAATGAAATAGCATTTGATTGTGATGCATTTCAAACGAAGTAGAACTGAAATGGCGTGCATGAAAGAGATGAGAAATGCATACAAAATCTTGGTTGATAAAACTGAAGAAAATAACTTTGGAGACCTAGAAGTTGGTAGAAGGATATTAAAATGGGTTACGGAAGTGTGAGATGAGGGCGTGGATTGGACTCATCTGGCTCAGAATAGCGTTTTGAGAAAGAATGTCCTTAGCCTGACATCTAGCAAAATTCTAAGGATCAGTGGTTATACAAGGAAAAAGAAGGCAAATTCTTGGTATTTCAAAGCCAGAAGTACAAATATATCTAATTTAGTTTTAAAATTGTTTTGCTTCCAATTTCCGTAACGTACGTGTGATAAGACTGATATATGTATAAAAGGCATTGCAGTACATAGCAAGCTAAGGAAATGATGGCTTCAAAAATGTTGTCTCAGTTTTCAGGATCAGAAAAATGTTGTAAACTGATTACTGATTCTCATCAACATATTCATTCCAGTTACACTCATTTTCAAGATCAGATATCTCAAGACCATGATCAGTTTATACATTCCTCCACCCCATGATTTAACTAACATATAGAAACGAGCAGCAGATTTTGCTAAAACATGATGCTTTTTTATTTTCCATTCTCTAAGGTTACGCTGTCTTAGTTTCAGATGTCCTCAAAACGAAGGAGCCAATACTAGACCCACGTCAGTGTACTGAGAGGACTGTGCGGACGGGACCTGCTCTTTTTTTTGAGACGTTGGGACTGCAATCGCTGGCAATGGACACACGTAAATTTACAGATCTTTTGGTGTTAGTTAGAGTTTGCCGGCCATGCATCATGCATGCAAGACATACAGACAGAATGAAGAAGGAGGAGGAACCACCAAGCACATGAAGTGAGTTGTATTAGTTGGTATTATAGTTTTTTAGTGCAGATATATTATATGTGACCTGTTAATCTGTACGTGTGTGTTGCCAGTTGTGTTTGTACACATAGTTTTCATTGCTTAAACATACCGGGAGCTGTTAACAGCTCAATATCATAACATCCTGTACCCTGCTACGTTATATAAACACTTCACTAGATATCAACAAGTACTAAGCTCAGTGTCACGTTGTCCTGTTTGAAATCGTGACAAGCTTCCTAGGAACGTATACAGTGTAATGTACCCGCATCTTATACAAGAGTGCCTAGACTGTCGCTTGTTGACTGCTTCCACGATCATTATGGACGAGGCTCAGAAATTTAGGAACAGTGGTATGTTCTTTTAACTGACACGCATTCTGGAATGTCGCCGTGGATTTGTAGCTGTGTCGTAATCCAAAGCTCTGTACTTTGAAAGCTGGCGGCTAAGGCAGAGCATCCATTCACATAGGTCTATGATAAATATAAATATAAATGAAGAAGAGCCAAACTTCATATACCTTCAAAATATCTACCCTAATTTTTTGAGGAACATCAGTCAGCCTAATCCCTACCTTGGATTATTCAATTCGCATAGTTACAATATTGATCTACTCTCTTCCCTATCTATCCTATTGATTTCTGTTGATATATTCCAATATTTGGCCAAAAGCATACGAGCCTGACTGTTTTATCACGATAACTGTCTTCTGTGTTGTTGCGCCCTGTAGTATGGTAGATGTTTACCAACGTTTCTGGGGGGAATGCGGTTCTCTATGGAATGCTTCCGCACGCCTCGAAGTGTGTGAATGAGGGGCTTCCATGACCGGTTCAGGAGATGTCCGTCTTCCCTGTTGTTGAAGTTATCGGGATGTAATTCAATCTCAATGGCTTCCCTGATTATCCGATTTATGTGGTTGTCACCAGTCTACCCCATAGCACCGACCTGTAAATGAAAGATTCAATTGCTTGTTAAGAATATAATCATTAGGAACATGAGAATATAATCATTAGGAACATGAGAAACACACGCAATCACAGTCACTGAACAAGTTTGTTTCTTCTTCTGCTTCCAGTGATCTTCATCCCGCCACTCTCGCACAAATCTCACAGAAAGTACTGCATAAGATGACCGCGGAACACTTGAGATGTACGGTTGAAACACATCTGTAAGAGTCGAGTACTTCTTAATTTCTCCCTCGTCTACTTTTCCTTCTTCTTCCTCTTTTTCATCCACTCCCTTTTCCTTCTTAAAATCTTCTTCCTCCTCTTTTCCTTCTTGTACTACATCTTCTTCTGCTTCTGCTGCCACTTGTGCACCTCCGCAGGTTGAACGTATGCTGCAGGCAGTAGTGCTCCCCCGCTGGTGGTGCTCCTGTTGCAGCCACTTGTTCTCCCTCGCTGGTGGTGATGCTATTGCATCCACGTGTTCTCCCACGTTGGTGGTGCTTGTGTTGCAGCCACTTGTTCACCCCTGCTGGTGCTGCTTGTTTTGTAGCCACTTGTTCACCCTCGCAGGTGTTGCTTCTGGTGCAGCCACTTGTTCTCCCTCGCTGGTGGTGCTTCTGGTGCAGCCACTTGTTTTCCCACGCTGGTGGTGCTTGTTTTGCAGCCACGTGTTCTCCCCCGCTGGTGGTGCTTCTGGTGCAGCCACTTGTTTTCCCACGCTGGTGGTGCTTGTTTTGCAGCCACGTGTTCTCCCCCGCTGGTGGTGCTTCTGGTGCAGCCACTTGTTTTCCCACGCTGGTGGTGCTTGTTTTGTAGCCACTTGTTCTCCCTCGCTGGTGGTGCTTCTATTGCATCCACGTGTTCTCCCACGTTGGTGGTGCTTGTGTTGCAGCCACTTGTTCACCCCTGCTGGTGCTGCTTGTTTTGTAGCCACTTGTTCACCCTCGCAGGTGTTGCTTCTGGTGCAGCCACTTGTTCTCCCTCGCTGGTGGTGCTTCTATTGCATCCACGTGTTCTCCCACGTTGGTGGTGCTTGTGTTGCAGCCACTTGTTCACCCCTGCTGGTGCTGCTTGTTTTGTAGCCACTTGTTCACCCTCGCAGGTGTTGCTTCTGGTGCAGCCACTTGTTCTCCCTCGCTGGTGGTGCTTCTATTGCATCCACGTGTTCTCCCACGTTGGTGGTGCTTGTGTTGCAGCCACTTGTTCACCCCTGCTGGTGCTGCTTGTTTTGTAGCCACTTGTTCACCCTCGCAGGTGTTGCTTCTGGTGCAGCCACTTGTTCTCCCCCGCTGGTGGTG